GAATAAGTAAAAAAATTGAAGTTTGAAAAAGTACCCACATACCCGTATCTGAAATTTGGACTCTTTTTATCCATGTCCTCATATCTTATATTTTAGAAAATAAAAGATCTGATACTTAGATACGTACCCGTACCCCGAGTCTGAGCATCATAGGAGAAGGGAATGGACGACCTTTTCTTGATATCTTCTTGATCTTGAAAAATCACGAATAGCTATGGTCTCTTTATGAGGTTAAACTTGTGCTCATATAAAGATCTCTCTTCTGATGTTCATTTGTCTATCACACGGAGGGAGGAGAGAGGCAGAGATGATAGTAAAGAGTGAGAAGCTATGACCTCAAACATGTCTCTACAATTATTTAGGGTTAACCGTCATGTTGCATTCTAATTCTTTTTTTTTTTTTAATTCTCAAATAATATGCGTGGAATCTTTTTCTTGCCATCTTTGTTGACATTGTTGTAGTCCATTAACTGATGCATTAGTTTCCCGGCTCATAGGAAATTTCATATTTAGGTTGTTTGAGCCTCATTTTTTTAAGAATTCATTTTTTCAAACCTCATTTTCAACCCCCACATTTTCAAATAAAATAATATTACACGTAAAACAAAAAAAAATTCTTAATTTTTAATCACACATTCTCCAAAAATCACTATTCAAAAATGTATTTTTCTCTCAAAATGGGGGCTCAAACACTGAGGGCTTACTGAAAACTTGCCATCCCTCTCCTCTTACTTCTGGCATTAATAAGAAGTTAAAAACAGACTTTGAAAGAAAATTTTAGCTTGCACTGTATTTTCTTAAAATCATTCCTTTTCAATGTTTCGTCGTCATTTATTTCATTTCCTTGATCCTATTGTCCAGTATTACATAGTGAATTATCTCTTATAGGTAATATTTAAACATGGTCCACAGGTAAGGGTTCTTGCGTTATCAATGAATTGGCACATGCATAATAGAATAAATAAAAGAAAATAGATAGAGAAAAACCTGCCGGAAAAATATTTTTCATTTTGACGATTTGTTAAATCTTATTGAGCTTCCCCGTGACTCTAGGCACTGCCAGTGTTATTAAGAACTTATGCAAAGCAGCATGCTGTCTGGATCTTTTCCGTAAAGTCGTTCAATGTGACATGATAGGCATATTGTTAATCAAGATGTCCCTCTAGCCAAATACAATCAAATTTTATGTTTTTATGGCCTATATTGGTCAACTCTTTTTCCTTCTTTTGGGGTGGAGAGTGGGGGTTAACAAGGCACTTTTGATTGTTGAAGATACGAGTTCATCAGATGACACCAATTTTTATTTTTTTAGTAAGCTGTCTTTTGGTTTAGAGAGGCACAAAAGAATCCCTAGAATCCTCACAACCCGAACCACAACCACACCTCTGTACCAAATTAAGCATGCAATATCAACTGATCATCACACAAGAAGCTAATTATGAGCTGGTGTTTCGGTTGCTTATGTTGTTGGTTGTATTTCGGCACTTGCACACTCGAACTTGATGACCAGGTATCGCTGATTGCTCGATACACAGTATTTAATATGAAGCAGGAGTTGATTGAGCCATGTTGCATGTTATGCTGCTCACACAGTGGCATGCATGGTCTGATTCTGTTGCAATTGTGAACCCATCATTGCAGGACAGGCTCTTTACATGCCGGCTTCCTTGCCAACACAAATTTGTTCATGTGTTGTTTCTATTGCTCACTCACTGAATATGCGGATGTGGTCGTGAATTTGTGTATATGTGTGTGGTGATAATACTGGTATTGATTGTGTCTTGTATCATTGTACATCCTCATAAGTTAAATTTGGTGTCGGCAGGTTCTGGAGACGATGAATCAGCAGAATGGAGCAAATCAACAATGCTTGAGACGTACACAAACGGGGCCATGGTGAATCTATATAATCATATGGATATATATATATAGAGGTGACTGTAAATATTTATGAAAGATCCTGCTGTAGATTGAAAAAAACGAGACGAGTAGTGTTTGCTGTAAACTATTCGTCGTTTTGTAGGTCTTTTTGATTGTTTTCCGCTTGTGTGCGCAATATGTAAGTAGAGTGGTAGAGCCAGACTTTCATAAAATAAAGTGAATTAGAACTTGTTTCATTTTGCTTGATTGTTAAGTCCAAGGCTTAATGCCTTTAGAGTTGTATTATCTAATGTCAAAACAGTTCATTGTTTTACACATTAGGGGATAGTTTTCTCCATCTGACGAATATGGACTGTCTAAAATGGGGGCGGCCTAAGGGGGTACTCCATGTTAGTTGAGTGATTGACGACTTGTCATGAGAGGGCACTATAAGACTGTTCAAGAGGGCACTATAAGACAACTTCATTGTACGGTTGTTTAGTGAGGAGTCTGTTATTACTACACGTTCATCGTTGTTTTTGTGTTCTATATATTTATTTATTTATTTTTCATCTTATTTTAGAATATATGGCTATGTAAGGCAATAAATCAACAACGGAAGCACAAATCAGAAATCAACAGCACAATATCACACAAAGCAAGAAATGGAATCTTATTGCATTTTGGGCTCAGAACAAATCCTTGCATTCTTCTGTACAAAGCAATAGTCACAAACACCCAGTCCCCTAATCTAAATCACACAAGGTTACTCAATGGCTCGAAGACAAAGTCACAGCCAAAACCGGACTGCCCCTCTCTCGCACAAACAACTACAAAGAAAACTGATCACCAAGATTATCAAAAGGATTAAAACTAGTAGTTAAAATCCAACCAAAGATTCACTAAGAAAGAGAGAAGAGATCACGAAGAACTCAAAGCACAGGAAGCTTCCAGAGACGCAAGAGAAGGAATGAATAAAATTTGCCAAGAATGACGCTCCAGCTGGTATAT